AGACTCATGTAATGGTACAAGATCCCAATGATGAATGTAACTGTATTGTATACCTAAAATGTACCAATAAAGTTAATTGGGGGGGGGGGAACTCCCTAAGAGTTCCATTTGTACTTAGCCATGATATTTTGCTACGATGATACAACCTGTCTATATTTTCTCTTGTCTTTTAGAAGATGATTTCTTAGAAGATGATGGAATTTTCAATATCTCAGTGTTTAATGAAACTTGTTTGAAATTGAGAATGCATTCTAGGAAAGTTGGATCAGAGCAAATGTACCAAGTAAGAAGATCTCTTATGGTATCTGTCAAAGAATTGGCCACTTAACAATTTAGATGATCACTAAGTTAGAATCCAAAGTATTAAAATCTGCTAATGGAATGAACTTCTAGACAGTTTGTGATTATTGTTTCTGGATACAGATATGAAGTGTGAGATGGGTGTAAGCGAGAGACTAAACTGAAAGAAAGACACTGTACTTGGTGACTTGCTATCTTTTCCCCTGCCTGTACTTCACACTTATATTCTCCTTTAGGGTATTTAATGATTACACTTTATTTTGTCGTCAAATTTATATATGGGCAAGGATTCTTTTTTTTGGTACCGGGGATTGAACTCGGGTCCTTGTGCAGGGGCAAGGATTCTTAAGGAACTCATTGCAGGGCTTTGTCTCTCATTTAACTTAAGTGTGTGTGTGTGTGTGTGTGTGTGTGTGTGTGTGTGTGTATGTGTGTGTTGCTGAGGCTTGAACCTGTGGTCTTGTACATTTGGCAAGCACTCTACCATGAAGCCACACCCCCACCCCTAATTTGATTTTTTTTTTAACATCACAAAGTCATAAGTAAGTTCAGGTGAGAACTGAGATTTTTTTGTGTTATTTTTAGTGCCTAGAAAATCATCTGACATAGAGCAGTAAGTATTAAGTTAAAATTAATTGTACACAGGCTGGGGATGTGGCTTAGCATGCACAAGGCCCTAGGTTCAATCCTGAGTACTGCTCCCCCAAGAAATCAATTCCATAACCATTTACCAAAAGAATATCACATATTAGGACCTAGAAGTTCCAATTCAAACAAATAGAAGTATATAAATAAACAGGTAACTACAATATGGTATAATGAGTACTTTAATAAAAAATAAATAGTCAATGGAATGGTAGATTTTGTGTGTGTGTGTGTGTGTGTGGTGTGTGTGTGTGTGTTTGTGTTTGTGTGTGTGTGTGTGTGGCCAGGTACAGTTTTAATGAGAAGTAAAGACTTCTGAGTCATAGATGAATAGGAATTAGCTATTTACAAGAGCTGGTGTGAGGGTGAAGAAGGGTATTGTGGGCAAGTAGAATAGCATATTGGATAATAGAGAAAGCAAAGGGGAATAGGGAGAGATAAGCCAAAATCTAAGCAGTAGTCAGATCATGAAAAGTCCTGTATGCTATGCATTTACATTTGAATTTTATTTTTATATCTACATAGAGCCACTGAAGGATTTTTAAGTAGGTAAGTAAAATTAAGTAGGTGGGTAGGTAAATAAAAGATTTCCATCTTATAAATAATCCCAGGGCCATTTACAAAGCCAAGTAATTTAAATCAGTAGAGAATGGAATGTTTATTCAATAAATGGTTCAGGGACAATGAGTTGGTTAATTACCTAGTTAAGAAAATAAATTATTCTAAGAAGAAAATAAATGACTAAAGAGTAAAATTGAAAAAAATTGGTGTTTTCCATGTGTTAGACAAAGATTACTTAATGTAACACGTGAGACCCTCTTAACTCCATTGGGAAAAGTGAGCATTCAAAATGCTTTGCATAAGAGAATCCTCATATTTCCCAAACACACAAATACTTGTTGTACCTCACTAGTAAGTGGACCAAAAGAATAGGGCACTGTGTGATCTTGGAGGAGCAGCTCTGAGGATTATGCAGACGAAGGTGTGGCTGTGGCTGTGGGTGGCTGAAGTGGAATGGAGGAAGTTCATAGCATTGAGCTCAAGGAACTCTGAGGCCAAGTTCTGATGGCATATCTGTAAGGACACTTACCTGATCTGAGAGAATTCCAGAAGTTGAGGGTGAGAGGAATCCTTTCGAACCAGGTGTCAAGGACTTGCATGGCCTGGTAGACTAGTGGGCACAAGTCTGTGATTGGCAGTGATGGGGAAGAATGGAGAGTAGGATAGCATTGACATGTGCATCAGTGGAAACACTAAACAAATGGTTTCTACCAAAGTGCATAATCTTGGCTGATCATATTACTCCTGAGATTGTCACAAAAGTGTTTCCCCTTATGAAATTAATATGAGAAAATGAAAAAATGGAAACAAAGTCTTTGTAAGTAGGGAGGGATGGGGGAGTTGAAGGGAGGGCAGGGGAATGGGGAAAAAATAAGAACCAAGAGAGATTATGTAAAGGTGCAAATGATGAATGTCATTATATTTGTATACCTAAAATGTACCAATAAAATTCATTAAAAAAAAAGTGTTTCCCCTATAACTCCCTGTATCTATTGCCTGTGTGGTGATAGGTGGAGTATGATTAAGTTAGCAGTATGTGTGATGACTCAATGGATCTAAAGCTCTTTCGGTACAGGTCTAATGGGAAAGATCAATGATGTACCCTTGCCCAGTTTTAAATGGATAATCTGGGTAGTCCTCATAAAGTTTAAGTATTCTGCACTATGAGACTTGTTTATGAATTCCTTACTTGAAAAGAAATTAACGAAATTTTTCCCAGTGGGTCCAGTGCAATGTCTTTCACTTACATGGGCATTGAGGGAATACTTTAGAATAGCCTGTTGGTTTATTCATCTGCGATGTATTTATTCATCTGAGATTCATCTTTAATGAAATTTACTCTTATTTCTACACTAAAGGAAATTGAATGGGATAGGCAACGTAGCTTTGTAAAATCTGTCCCCAGAGCAGCTCACTTTTGTATTAAAAATAATCCTGAGTGAGTGAAGATAAATAGAAGGAACTGCCTTGTTTTATCTCCATTTTACTTATATCTGCAAGCAACATAAAATTTAATGCAACATTTTCTTTTAATCTCATGCCAGTTTAAAGTCCTGGGTCAAAGGTGGTATCTGGATAACTTTTATCATGAAACATCATTTAACTTTACAACAAGTGAACCAGCTCCAGAAGTGTGTTTGGATCTGTATCCAGCGACTGATTATACAGTGAATATCACCTGGCTGGGACCTTCTGAGCAGCACTCAGTGCAAATAACAATTATGACTGCACCAACAGGTAGGTGTGGATGTCTTTCTGTTTGTACCCGAGGACAGTGTGTGAACAGAACTGTGCACAGTGGGGGATCATAAAAGATGGGGTTCAGGAGCCTTGAGTTCTAGTTCTAACTCCCCCTGGTGGGAAGTGATGCAGAATTCTCTACCATTTCTTTTGTTCTTTAATCCTCTGGGTATAACAGACAAATTATGGCCAGCCAGGAGAAGAGGCTGTATAGGGCCTGATTCTACCTCCTTGAGGCCTGTCTCTCATGTTCACCACCGCTCTGGGTGGGTCAGAGGTGGACAGTTTGGCCTTTTCATTTGAGCTATAATAAATACATGAGGGTCAGGGGATTTAGCTCAGTGGTTCTGGCACCTGCTGCGCAAGCTCAAGGTCCTGAGTTCGATCCCCGATACCAAAGAAACCAAAACAAATACATGAGACACTAATACTTTTTTGTTTCATAATTTAGCAAGCATAAGAGTTATCTGAAGAGCTTATTAAAACATAGGCTCCTGGGCCTCATTGCAGAGGTTCTGATTCAGTAAGTCTGGGGTGAGCACCCAGAACTTTCATTCCTTGCATACTCCCCGTCCTTGATGATCCTCCCAGTCCACATTTTGAGACCACTGCTTCAGTTACATAAATCTTAGCTACTTCTAGGCAGTTTAAAGGTCAATGTAGAGACATGATGAAAACAAAGGCAAAAATAAGTGATAGTTAAAATAATTCTATCTGCTCAGGCCTTAGAAGCCTGTGTGTTAAAACTGCCTTGGCCAGGCGTAGTGGTGCACACCTATAATCCCAGCACTTAGGAGACTGAGTGAGGCAGGAGAGGCCAGCCTGGGTTACACAGTGAGTTCAGGGCCAGCCTGAAGTACATAGTGAGACCCAGTCTCAAAAACAAAAACATAAAACAACTTTGCCTGATAGGTGAAATTTTCCTGATAATCAGGTATCTACTGTGTCTGTTCCTGCATTCCAGCTGCAGAGACTAAAGCTCCCCCTTCCCCTTGGTACTCTGTCCCCCTGTGGCAGCTTTTGTGTTTTTATTACAGGCCCAAATCAGTATATCCACATTTATAGGCACAAACTGAGTCCTGACTCTCCTTTCCACCTGAGATTACTTAGGATGAATAGACAAATGAGAAGTTAAACATCTACTTTATTGATCTGGGCAAGTTCCCAGGAACCGACCCCCAAAAAGACTTCAGGTAAAAGCTTTATTGGAGGAGAAGGTTTAGATATCTGGGCAACTGGGTTTGCAAGGAAGCCTTGACTGGCTTATCTGCCCAGTGTCAGCCGAGCAGCAGAGGAAAGGACCTCTTGGAGACTAGAGGTATATGACATGCCCCTTATATCTGAGCACAGGCAGGTCCCAGAGAGGAAGCACCTGCCTTTTTGGTCAGTCCCTGTAATATGTGAATGCTCCACATTAGGAAATGTGACCCAAGCAATAGTAGCCTCCTGTCAGTCAGAGCACATATTTACTGTTCCTTCCTTGAGGATCAGTGCGAAGGTAATTGTCCTTTTCACTTTTTTTTTTTGGTACCAGGAATCAAACTCAAGACTTTGCGCTTGTGAGGCAGATGGCAGAACCACTGAGCTAAATCCCCGGCCAAAGTCCTCCAAATTTATCTCCATAGAATGTAGTCATATTCTTTTAGCCTGAAAAATTTCATGGTAGCTGTAACCAGATACCAAATTTGTATAAAGAAAAGTTTTAATAAAATAACAGCAAACCTCTCAGCTTTGAACAGTGTTATATCTTCTTGTTCTCTCTAAAGTTCTAACTGCTCAAAAAAAGTACATCAAAGATAACTAAAATGATACCACTGTTTATACAGCAGTTATGCTTTCAGACTAGTGGATTTATACCCATTCTTTCTGACGATATTTAAATTGCAAAGTAATCTTTCTAATTTGGCTATTTCTAATTAGACATTTAAAAACCATATCATTTGTGTATAAAAGCAAATTTGCTTTTCAGCTCTTTTTAGCAGAGGACTGCCTGCATTTAGACATTTCTAAAATAGTGTTGGTATCCAGGTGTGATAGTGCACCCCTGTAATCCCAACATTCAGGAGGCTGAGGCAGGAGGATCAACATGAGTTCAAGCCCAGCCTGGGGTACATAGCGAGACACTGTCTCACCCCCCCCCC